GTGGACCTTCCCATTGTGTCGCAAGTCGGATGTTATATCCACACTCGCCGCCTTCTACTCCTATGTTCTCACGCAGTTTAGTCGTCCCATTCTCGCGTTACAGACAGACAACGGGAAGGAGTTTGACAACCTCGTTGTTCGTCATCTTCTCACCACACATGGCACGATTTTTCATCTCACTTGCCCGTACACCTCGCAGCAGAACGGTCGCGCTGAGCGCATCCTTCGCACTCTCAATGACTGCGTTAGGACTCTTCTCTTTCATGCCAACGTGCCTCCACGCTTTTGGCCTGACGCTCTCGCCACCGCTTCTCTCCTCATCAACATCCGCCCATGTCGTACTCGCGGAAACTTTACACCTCATCATCTTCTACTTGGTGCACCCCCCTCTTATGATGGGCTTCGCATCTTCGGCTGCCCTTTGCTACCCTAGCATCGCCGCTACTGCGCCTCATAAGCTTGCACCCCGCTCCGTCGCCCGCATCTTTCTCGGCTACCTACCTAACACTAAGGGCTACCGCTGCTATGATCCCGTCTCCCATCGTGTTTTCACCTCCCGACACGTTTACTTTGATGAGATGGTGTTTCTGTTTCAGCAGCAGGTACCTCTTGTCGCTTCGTCACCGCCGGCCACCGGCAGCCCTTCGACGACCTCGTCAGGTGGACGGTCTCGTTTGGCCCGTGGACCGCCTCCGGGCTTTGGCGGTCCTCGCACCCTCACACCGGCACCCGCTCCCTCGGCCTCCTCGACCGACCCTGCCGGCGCGGCTGGCGCCCCTCCTTCACCCGCCGCCCCCGACTCGGGCGCCGCGGGGTCGGGCGCCGCTGGCTCGGCCGCCACGACGCCGGCCACCTCGCCGGTCCTGACGCCGGCTCTGACGCAGCCGGCCTCGCCGGCCCTGACGTCGGCCTCCTCGCCGGCTCCGACGCCGGCCGCCTCGTCGGCCGCCTCTCCGGCTGCCTCGCCGATGGCTCCGACGGCGCCGCCTGGCCCCGTTACACGGGCTCGTACCGACGTTCATCATCCGAGCCTCCGGTACTCGAGCGACGAGTATGTCCTCTCAGCCTCCATCGCGGAGCCGTCGCCTCTTCCAGCGTCCGCTTGCGCCGCCCTACGTGATCCTCACTGGCTTGCGGCGATGCAGGAGGAGTTTGATGCTCTTCAACGGAACCGCACCTGGACACTGGTTCCCCGGCCTTCTCGCGCCAACGTCATCACCGGCAAGTGGGTCTTTCGCCACAAGACCCGCTCGGACGATACTCTCGAGCGCTACAAGGCTTGCTGGGTGGTCCGTGGTTTCCGCCAGCGTGCTGGAGTGGACTTCACTGAGACGTTTGCCCCGGTTGTAAAACCGGGCACGATCCGCATCGTCCTCCAGCTCGCCGTCTGTTGGGGAACATAGTAATTTCAAAAAAATTCCTACGCACACGCAAGATCATGGTGATGCATAGCAACGAGAGGGGAGAGTGTGATCTACGTACCCTTGTAGATCGACAACGAAAGCGTTTGGTTGATGTAGTCGTACGTCTCCACGGCACCTCCGAGTTCTAGCACACGTTCAGCTCGATGACGATCCCCGGACTCCGATCCAGCAAAGTGTCGGGGAAGAGTTCCGTCAGCACGACGGCGTGGTGACGATCTTGATGTACTACCGTCGCAGGGCTTCACCTAAGCACCGCTACAATATTATCGAGGACTATGGTGGAAGGGGGTACCGCACACGGCTAAGAATATGATCACGTGGATCAACTTGTGTGTCTAGGGGTGCCCTCTACCCCCGTATATAAAGGATCCAGGGGAGGAGGCCGGCCGGCCCTCTATGGCGCGCCAAGGAGGAGTCCTCCTCCTAGTAGGAGTAGGTCTCCTACTAGGAGGGGGAAAGAAGTGGGGAGGGAGAGGGAAAAGGGGGGGCGCCGCCCCCCTCTCCTAGTCCAATTCGGACCAGGGGGAGGAGGCGCGCAGCCCACCTCTGGCAGCCCCTCTCTCTCTCCACTAAGGCCCATATGGCCCATTACTTCTCCCGGGGGGGTTCCGGTAACCCTCCGGCTCTCCGATTTTCTCCGAAATCACCCAGAACACTTTCGGTGTCCGAATATAGCCATCCAATATATCAATCTTTATGTCTCGACCATTTCGAGACTCCTCGTCATGTCCGTGATCACATCCGGGACTCCGAACTAACTTCGGTACATCAAAACTCATAATATAACTATCATCGAAACCTTAAGCGTGCGGACCCTACGGGTTCGAGAACAATGTAGACATGACCGAGACACGTCTCCGGTCAATAACCAATAGCGGAACCTGGATCCTCATATTGGCTCCTACATATTCTACGAAGATCTTTATCGGTCAGACCGCATAACAACATATGTTGTTCCCTTTGCATCGGTATGTTACTTGCCCGAGACTCGATCGTCGGTATCTCAATACCTAGTTCAATCTCGTTACTGGCAAGTCTCTTTACTCATTCTGTAATACATCATCCCGCAACTAACTCATTAGTTGCAATGCTTGCAAGGGTTAAGTGATGTGCATTACCGAGAGGGCCCAGAGATACCTCTCCGATAATCGGAGTGACAAATCCTAATCTCGAAATACGTCAACCCAACATGTACCTTTGGAGACACCTGTAGAGCTCCTTTATAATCACCCAGTTATGTTGTGACGTTTGGTAGCACATAAAGTGTTCCTCCGGCAAACGGGAGTTGCATAATCTCATAGTCATAGGAACATGTATAAGTCATGAAGAAAGCAATAGCAATATACTAAACGATCGGGTGCTAAGCTAATGGAATGGGTCATGTCAATCACATCATTCTTCTAATGATGTGATCCCGCTAATCAAATAACATCTCTTTTGTTCATGGTTAGGAAACATAACCATCTTCGATTAACGAGCTAGTCAAGTAGAGGCATACTAGTGACACTCTATTTGTCTATGTATTCACACATGTATTATGTTTCCGGTTAATACAATTCTAGCATGAATAATAAACATTTATCATGATATAAGGAAATAAATAATAACTTTATTATTGCCTCTAGGGCATATTTCCTTCACCGTCTCCCGCGGCTGGCCCGTTCACCAGATGGATGTCTCCAACGCCTTTCTCCACGGCCATCTTGAGGAGCAGGTGTATTGTGAGCAACCCACCGGTTTTGTCGATGCCTCACTTCCTAGACATGTGTGTCTGTTGTCCCGCTCTCTTTACGAGCTCAAGCAAGCACCCCGCGCCTGGTACCAGCGGATCGCCGGGTTTCTTCAGACACTGGGCTTCAGCGTTACTCGCTCGGACGCCTCATTGTTTGTTTATCGCCACGGTGACACGACTGCGTACTTGCTTCTTTATGTCGATGACATCATCTTGACGGCCTCCTCCGCAGCTCTTCTTCAGCAGATTACTCTCCGGCTGCGTGACGAGTTTGCCATTAAGGACTTGGGTGCTCTACATTATTTCCTTGGCATTAAGGTCGTTCGGCGCCCGGATGGTTTCTTTCTTCATCAGCAGAAGTATGCACATGAGCTTCTTGAGCGTGCTGGCATGCTCAATTGTCACCCTATTGCTACTCCTGTTGACACGAAGGCCAAGGTTTCTGCTCTTGAGGGCTCGCCTGCGTCGGATGCTCCTTTCTACCGGTCTATCGTCGGCGCTCTTCAGTACTTGACTCTCACCAGACCGGATCTTCAGTATACTGTTCAGCAGGTGTGTCTCCACATGCACGCCCCTCGTGACTCCCATTGGACTCTCGTGAAGCGGATCCTTCGTTACATCCGCGGCACGATGACCCTTGGATTGACACTCACGGCGTCTACTTATCTGGAGATGGTGGCCTACTCCGATGCAGACTGGGCTGGTTGCCCCAATACTCGTCGGTCCACCTCCGGCTACTGCGTCTACCTCGGTCCTTCATTCGTCTCGTGGTCGTCCAAGCGACAACCCACGGTTTCGCGCTCCAGCGCGGAGGCTGAGTACCGAACTGTGGCCAACGCTGTTGCGAGTGCACCTGGCTACGACAGTTACTTCAGGAGCTGCATCATGACGTCTCCCAGGCTACGGTTGTCTACTGTGACAACGTTTGTGCGGTGTACTTCTTCGCCAACCCCGTTCATCATCGCCGGACTAAACACATTGAGCTGGACATTCACTTTGTGCGCGAGCAGGTGGCTCTTGGACGTATTCGGGTTCTCCATGTGCCGACTGCCCAACAGTTCACCGATGTGATGACGAAGGGACTGCCGACTTCTACCTTCGAGGAGTTCCGTTCCAGTCTTTGCGTCA